CTTCGAGCAGTAACCGCTGCATGGGGTCCATGGCCATGGCCTCGGCTGGCGATATCGAGAAGAACGGCGCATCGAAAAGCGAGACATCTTCAGCGAGATAATGCCCGCCGCGGTTGTTACACTTAGATTTCGGTCAGCGGCGCGGTCCGTACGGTAGATGGCGCAAGCTTACCGTCCCGAAACGATCCCCATCGGGGTTGTAGAATGCATCAACGTTGAAGCGGTCTGAAGGTACTTCGGTGCGAGCCGACTTCTTCTCGACCAGCATCTGCCATAGTTTCTCGCCGTTGGTAACGTCGCCTGGAAATCGGCAGCCAAAGCCAACAATGGCAATGGGCATTGGCTTGGTATCTTCATACGCCATTGTCGTGAGAGATCATGAAAAGTGTTGAACTTTGTGGACGACTTAGCACCAAAAGATGTTGAAGCAAACGCAGCTGGTTAGTGTGGCCATTGATAAAATGACATCGAAGAGCCTTCTAAAGGCAGGATCAGGAGAGCCCTTGTTAATCGACACGAGATGCCCCCAGACGAGGTTCGGCGATGAGGAGCCACACTGATCACTGGGGTTCTGCGTACGTCGCGGAAAGCGGCCCTCCCTGACACGCTTAGCTGCACAGTGTTAATCGCATCCTCTGCCACGCACCACATGTGCGTAAACCAACTGCCTAGTAATCAAGCACAGAGGCGAGAACGCCCCCGTACAGTACATGAGGCCAGGGCATATCAGTAGCGCATCCTTCGCGCACTCGGTTGTCGCGAAACCCATGGCGAGCATTGCGCAGACGCATCCGTCGACAACACAAAGAGACGTCCATATCCGCATTCCAAGTTCTCTCTGCCCAATGGTTGCTGCTCTTTCGGAATTCCATCCTGTTATTGACAAATCCTGATCAAATCGGGAAAGGCTGTGGAGGCTACTGTCGCTCGATTCCCAGAACAGACATCATGCTAAGGTCATGCATGCGTAGCCACTTGTTTGGGACCTTGTTCGCTTGAGTAAGGTGAACGATCAGACTATCGCGATCTATCCTGTTACGTGGCTGTTAGTTGTTGGTCGCTACCAGAGGTAGTGGCGGGAGAGCTTCGGCCTGAGATAGATCAGTGGTGGAGTAGCAGCTTCGATCTTGACGTCGGAATCAGTGACAACGGCAACAGCCTATCACGGGACTTCGCCAGGCAATGGGAAGCCACCCGAACGCCTCAAGCGTGCCGCCCCGAAGGAGCAGGAAGCAGCGGTGTAGCCTGCACAAGTGCAGAATGCATGGCGTTTAGGAATGACGCGAAGGATTTCACCCATGAATGCGATCCTGCAACTGTGTGTAACTGCAAGGGAGTACAGAATGAGCCGAAGTGGTGTGGAGCTGCCCCGTTATAGACGAGCCGAAGTGGAGCGCGTGCATGCCCGTCATCGAATAGCAAGGTTACCGCTGCTTGTAGCGCGCTTCGTTCCTGTTCGTGTAACAAATTTTGCGCGCGTCGGGTGACATGGCTGCGGTGCCATGTCGGCCTGAACGCGTGGGGTGGATGAGGATGGAAGGATTGAGGTTCGGCGCGCGCAGATGGTGACGAGGGGCATTTTCAGGCTAAACCGCTTGGCAGCAAGCGCCACAGCAGGCACGCCCCAATACGAGCAGTCGCAGGCTTCACAACCTGCAGTCGATTCTTTGAAGGGAAGGGTAGCCGCAGAATACGTGTTTTTCATCCAAATGAGGTATCTGCAAGTACATGGCCTGACTCGTCTTCTCCCAACTTCACGATGATTGGCCAGCATAAATGAATGCTACATCGGAAATAACATCGTTGAGAACCTCCTTACATGCGAGACGCAGTGCGCTTGGTACTTTCCTGTGTGAGTTCTCCCTGCAGCTGTTCGGCGACATCCTCAGCAACCGAGCTCTTGACATCAGCCGACTCTTGCGCTCCCTCAGCGTCGAGGTACGCCTCAATCAAACTCATGTTGCCTCTGCCGTGAATGGCCTTGATCTGCGAGACAAGTCAGTACCGCGCCACTTGTATGCTGTTCACTGATAAGCTCACCTTGAGGCGTGGGTCGGCATCTGAAAGGAGACGACGGAATTGTTCCTCCGACCGTTGTTTGGCTCCGAGCATCAACATCATCATGAGATCGACCTGGCGCATGCGGTTGTCCGTGTATCGAGAGGCTTCACCAAGGGCTGGCATGACCACATCGTTGATCAAAATCGGCGTCCCGGCAGGGCTCTTCTCCAACGCAGGGACTAGTGCTCTGAAGATGCGAATGCAGTCTTCGTCACTCCAGTTGTGAGTGATGTACCGCAGGAGATACGCCGCTGCACCCGATACAGGTTGCTTGGTGAAGAAGTCGTGTGGCATGAATGTGACTCGGCCATTGAGATCCGAAAAGTCGTTTTGTGATGCAGATGACAGCATGGTCAATGAGTCCTGGACGATGAGTTCCAGGTTGGGGAAGGTCTTTGCATAGTCAGTAAAGCGCGTATAGTGTCTTCGGCATCGTATCCGCATACCCGAGCCAGATTGACGCTCATGTGGCCGCTTCCACCTCCAACATCAATGACCTTTCGGCCACTAATCTTGTCCCATGGGAAGCTCTCTTTGAGGTTATCAAAATGCCTCTCAACTGCGCCGTTTAGTTATGAGCTTGTATAGGTATATCGATGACTCACGCCTTGAGACCCCCGCCATTGCACTGGCAAAGCGAGCTGCTCGCTTGGGATCTTGCCTGTAGTAATCGAAGAGAACGGTACCATGTCGCGTCACAAATGCATTTCTCTTGCCATCTGTCACTGTTGGTGATTCCTTGATGCTCTCCGATGTCTCCGAAGCTGCCCGGAAGAACTCATCCAATCTTCAACGAGTTAGCGTTAGATATATTTGTATGGGATTGGTCAAACACTCACTGATAGGCCATGACATCGCGCCACTGCGTGTCCTTCAAGTAGAGCACGCTTCTTGACGTGTGCTTAAACACATCCGGCTCAACCTCTTCGAAGACGCGATCGGAGGACAGCATACGGAGGAAGCGACCGACGCGGTCCTCGTCCATGCCGGCCTTCTCGGCAATCTCTTTGGTGGTAGCTGATCCATCTTCTGGAATAGCTTCAAAGAAGTTGAACTCGCATGCTACTTGCCAGGCCGCCAAATCATACAGATAGCACACAAATGTTCGCGCATCGTTCCTGGGACCGTTGACAAGACGAAGTAGGTCACGAGCGGCATCATTGAGACTATCGCGCAACTTGATCTGCTCGGGAGTTTCGGGAATGGTGTCTGAATCGATGGTGAATGAAGGCTCTGGCACCTTCTTCTCGGTCAAATCGGCGACGATCTGTGTGGTCAACTGCTGGACTTCCTTGGCCAGCTCAAGCAGGGTCGATTTGTGTTCGGCAATCATATTGTCTAATCGTTGTATGCACTTGAAGCAGTTGTCAAGAGGAAGATGATGTGAAGTGAAGCTTCCCGTCCTGCGTTCAAACTACCCATTATACTTCCGCTTGGTCGGGCTCATGTTGCTTACACGGCGGCGTTATGCAGGACGATGTTCTTGGAGTAGTGCTTGATGTGTCAGCTATCTGGGGCATGTCACTGGTGCTACCCAACGCCCTTGACGATGCTCGGCTGCACGCTGGAACATCCCGCATCGTATGGCTGGGCCCAATGGGAAGGACCCTCGCGCACCGAGAGACCAGATAGGATACGGAGTACGTCTCCTGCATGCGCGTGCAGCGCACAATTCGGGCCTCTAGCTGCATGGTTCCTCGTGCGCTCACGCGCATATGATTTTTGAGCAGAGGTCATGAGAGACGTCTTTGGAAGGCCGTGTTCCGATTCAGCGGATTGCACTCAGGCCCAGAGGTCTGCTTTTTGACTTTAGGTGTCCTCGCGTCGGCCCGGCGGAAAGCCAGCAATCTGAGACAAAGATCTTGACAGCGGGAGGCCTCGGTGACTCCCGTCTTGCCGACAGTTCAGGTGTGTGCCTGAGTCAGGTCGATGCAGGTTAAATAGACGCGCTGCAAACCCTGGTTGTGGACGTGGCAGAGGCCCCGCAGGTGAACCCGCTGCATGCTTCGCTGTAGGCGCCGAGAGCAATTATCGGCTCTACTATTGCGCTAACAAATTTCGATATCGTGACTGGTGCGATCAATTCCATTTTCTTGATGACAGCCGTTGGTCGGCGAAATGGGTGAAATGGGTGCGTGAGGATGGTGGGAGCTCCAACGCTGGACGGAATGTGAATGACTAAGCCTCTGATACGCTAGCGTTAATACGGACGGCACGTGTGAGCGGGACAACTCCGGTAACACGTGAAAGATCTCCATGTCATCTTGATAACTCGACAACACCAGTGCTTTTGTTGTCGCACCACCCCAGAGATGATGCGTGCATTATGTACCGCCCCTATCCCAGGGCTTCATCGTGCTGTACAAAGTACCTGCATATACTATGGGCAGCCGCAACTCGACTGCGATCTTGAAACAGCGCTACCTCGGAATACAACTAAAGTGCGTACGATAGTCTCAACTGAATTGTATTCGACTGAAAGAAGTCCTGCTCCTTGAAGCAGAGCTTCGTATCGCGTTGTGGTCACCTGTCCTCTAGACGATCGAGTGCCGGATTGGATTATGATGGCTGATAAATTGCTGATGACGACGCTGTCGAGCTGATGCTGAGCGCCGGGCATGGTAACGATCAACTGCCATCTCGTGGTTCACACGCTCGGATAATGTAGAAAAGGGTCTCGATGACGTCGTACAGGCGGGTCGTGCAGGGGCTGGGAGGTGCACCGAAAATCCGGGGGACCATCTCCACTCCCAACCCCTAAGGCTCACGAAGCTTTCCCTGTGTCTCTCACAACTCATACATTTTCCTTTGTTAGAACGCGTTTCCGTTATTCCCGGCAGTGGTAGAATCTCAGCATACCAAACAGATTTCTACGCGACAGAAGTTGGCGCGTCTTACGCCGCCTCGGATAGCTCCGCACCCCTGAAGCCCGAGTCGCGATGCCTGTCAACACCATCTCTGTGGGCGCGGCTGTGACGCCCACGGTCATCCAGACATATCTCTCGCATTACCTCAATCGCCGACCTCTTGCGCAAAAGCCCACGGCGCACATCTCGTACCACGAAGGCCTCGAGCTCATCCGCCGCTTTCTCCACTACGCCTCTTTCCACACGGTCGACGAATTGCAAGCCTTCACGTCGCAATGGGTTCCAGTGCCGCGCTGGGTGCACGTAAATGTAGTCGAGGTTTCCGCGACTCTACTACAGCGCTCAGCTGAACTGCTCAATGCGCAATTGGGACCAGAAGGCATCAAGGCAGTCGGAGGAACGAATTGGTGGCAGTGGAGACGCGAAGGCACAACCCTCAAGGCCGAGTGGATCGAGATGCGCAAGGACTACGACGCGAGGAAACAGCTGGCAATCACCAAAGGCGACCGCATAATGCTCTATGTTCATGGCGGCGCCTACTTCTTTGGCAGCGTCGACGAGCATCGCTATCAGATGCAGCGGCATGCGCGCAAGCTCAAGGCTAGGGTGCTGGCGCCCAAATACAGACTCGCGCCTCAGTTCCCCTTCCCATGTGGTCTGCACGACTGTAAGTGGCCTGCTCAATGTCAATAAAGGAATACTAATACCTCCAGGTCTGGCCGCCTACCTCTACCTCCTCGAACAGAAGCACGATCCTACGACGATTATACTTGCTGGCGACTCGGCAGGTGGCGGCATGGTACTCAGCATGCTCGTGACAATGCGCGACCAAGGCATACCATTGCCCGCAGGAGCCATCTTGATCAGTCCATGGGTGGATTTGACACACAGCTTCCCCAGTCTGGGAGGTGATGGCAAGATGGACTACATTCCCTCGCACGGCTTTATCCACAAGCCGAGCATGAGCTGGCGTAAGTTGGTCGTGTCCATGTCGAAGAGCTATTACTGACCACAAACAGCACCTCCCAACGCGGACGATATGCTGGACATCGAAACATCCCTTAATGGCTCGACCAAGAAGAAGAACAGTTCAGACAAGACGGAGGACAAGGCAGCAAAGAAAGAGGCGGAAGCTGAGCGCGTACGAGGCTATTCTGTCCAATCTGGAGATCGGCCACCTCTAGAAGAAGTCGCGGATCCATCAGCTACAGGACAAGGCATGAGTACTTGGATCTCGTCCAATGGCAAATACAGCATTGGACCCAAGAGCCAGCTATCAGTTCAGCTCGAAGATGAACGCGTCGAGATCAAGGACCAGATCCAGATGTACGCCCCGAATCACCTCTTGACGCATCCTCTGGTATCGCCGGTGCTACAGCCAACACTCGGAGGATTGCCACCTCTACTCATCCAAACGGGAGGGGGTGAGCTACTCAGAGACGAGCAGATCTACCTCGCACACAAAGCTGCGCAACCGCTGGCCTACATACCACCACCTTCCAACAACCAGACCGCTGAGTCCATACAAGCTCAAGCCGCCAGCTACAGGCCTACGAACGTTCAGCTCCAGGTCTGGGATGATCTATGTCACGTTGCGCCCACGCTCAGCTTCACGCGCCCAGCAAAGCACATGTACCGTAGTATAGCCCAGTTCGGTGCTTGGGCCCTTGCACGTGCTCAGAAGAAGTCCATTGACATCCTCGACGATGATGACATCTCCTTCATGAGCAGTGATTCAGGCACTTCGTCTGAATCTGACAAGGCCGGCTCCGGCTCTTCGTCAGACGACCCCAAGTCCGCGAACAAGCATCCCAAGCCCACAAAAGCCGAGAAGAAAGCTGCTCAAGATGCACGCGTTGGTCGAGCTGGTGACGCGATTCCTCCCTTCGAGCGCCATATGATCCGCCAGCGCATCGATCGCCACGGGCGCATCTATGCGCTCGCTCCGAAGGAGGAGCTTGTTGCACTGAACATCCCTAGCGTTGATGTGGGCGTGCCAAAGACAGGACCCGTCGGCAAATGGATGAAAGCGCAATCTCAGTGGAACAACAAGTTCTCCAAGCAGAAGATCAAGATCCAGAAGCAGCGTATTAAGGATATGCAGAAAGGCTTCGAAGGCTTCGAGGGCGAGACACCCCCACCAACTGCCTTGGCTGGTAGAAGGATCAAGGGCATGAAGGCCGAGAAGGCAAAGAAGAGGAGTTGGGGCATGTCGATGTGGGCTGGATGGGGCAGTAAGCATGACTCGGCTACTGTAAGTGCACTCACTCTCAACGTCAGACATCTCAACGTTACTAACACGCCCCAGATCGTCCGCGAAGAGAAGGCAGACCAAAACCCCGACACCGAGGCCTCTACCTCCACCCAAGATCCAGCCAATACAGCCACCGACGGCACAACAGAAAGCGCGCCAACCCGCAGCCGAGCCAACAACCTCACCGCCCCAGCCGTAAAACGCTCACGCTCCCACTCCCGCCACTCCGCCGTAACCGACAAAGGCCAAACCGGGCTTCCCATGGACGACCTCTCCAAAATCGTCCTACCCACCCCGGGCCTCGCCGACGCAACAACCCTCGCCCCAGAACGCTCTGCTTCCCCGCTCCCCTCTCCCGTAAGCGAACTCAGCTCCCCCGGTATCGGTATCCCACCCAACATAATCGTCTCCGACAACCCCGAGAATTCCAGCACCATCATCCCCGAAACAGATACTTTGACTACCCGCCCCACGGCTGGCGGTATCGCGTACCCGTTCAGTCTCAAGGTGGATGGCCCGGATGGCAAGGATGTTAATGCTAGTACGCTTACGCTTGCGAGTTTGAATGTTACTACGCCGCCGGCTGTTGATGGTGATGCGGAAGAGAAGCAACTTGGTAGTATGTTTCCAGCTGGGGAGAGTGGTATGGTGCCGGGGGGTGGGAGTGAGAGTGTGAATGAGCAGGTGCTGAAAGAGGAGAGGCCGGGGGTGGAAAGGTGGTTTACGGCTGGGGCTGGGGCGGGGCTGTTTAGTGATGGTGTGGTGGAGGAGAAGGTGGAAGAGGGGGAGAAGGTGGAGAGGCCGGGTGTTGAGAGGTTTGAGACTGCGAATGATGGGTTGGGTATGGGCGTTGCGGGGGATGGTGGGAGGGCGTGAGGTTTGCGGTTGGGTGGAGAGGTGGAGAGGTTGGGACAGATTGATGGAGCAAGGAGAAGACGTCAAAATACTGTAGATACCCAATTTTCCTTACTGTGAGTAATCTTAATACAAACGTACACATTTTATCGCATGCACCCTTACGCAAGTCATCACTACGAATGGCGATGGGCTCGGTTATATACATGAAACATGTTCACATGAAGCATTGCGAAGATTGTGAGCTTCAGGTTACTTAGAAACATTGTAGCTGGAAGGTACACACGCTATCGAGTTTGCGTTATGGTTCCACACCAGTTCCGCACCGGAGATAACCTAACCCCGCATGACATCACCTCAGCATCCCTCAAGGACGACCGCACCACGTCCTCCCCTTCCAATTAACTAACCATACACCCTCAACTCGATCTCCTAGAAAAACTCAACATCTGAAAGCTTAAAATGTCCGTCTTCCGCCCCTCAGCCCACGCCCTCATAACAGGCGGCGCATCCGGCGTCGGCTTTGCCGTCGCCCAACTTTGCCTAAAACACTCAATGCGCGTCTCCATTATCGATTTCAACCAATCCTCGCTCGACATCGCGCGCAAAAACCTGTCCGGCGATGTAAAATGCATCCAAGCAGATGTCTCCTCCCGCTCCGACTGGAGTTCCATCCGCCAGCAAGTCGGCGCCGACGTTGATTTCCTCATGCTGAATGCGGGCATTGGCGGGAAAGGAACGTGGGGTGATGAGGAATATTTTGATAAGATTCTTGCTACGAATCTGGGGGGTGTTGTAAATGGTTTGAATGCGTATGTTCCGAGTTTCAAAGAGAGGGCGGGAAAAGACGGGGAGGAGAGTACGATTGTGATTACGGGGAGTAAACAGGGGATTACGAATCCGCCTGGTAATCCCGCGTATAATGCTAGTAAAGCGGCTGTGAAGACGCTGGCTGAGCATTTGAGCTATGATCTCAAGGACACGGGCGTTGGGGTTCATTTGTTGGTTCCGGGGTGGACGTTTACTGGACTTGTAAGTCGCTCTTCTATTGTTTGTATTCACAGTACTAACAAAACCCAGTCTGGAAACGAACCAGGCTCTACCAAAGCCAAGCCGGAAGGTGCGTGGTCAGCGGACCAAGTAGCAGACTACATGTACGTCAAGATGCAGGCCAAGAAGTTTTACATCATCTGTCCTGACGACCAGGTCACGGAGGAGACGGACAAGAAGAGGATGTTGTGGAGTGTAGGCGATATTGTGAATGAGAGACCGCCGCTAACGAGGTGGAGAGAGGAGTACAAGGATGAGGCTGAGAAGTGGATGGCGGAGCAGAAAGTGTAGATATACATGCTAAACGATAATCACTTCGGTGTGCTTTACATGTGACAGCTCCAGTCCCCATGCGCGCACAATTCCAATTCGCTCCCAACACCCAGTGTGCGTCTTTGACTGCACCAGGGCAAGACCTTCAGCCAAATTAGGCATCGTTTCCCAGGGCCGAAATTGTATAAGCAGGATCACTACGCTTACGACGGTTTCCATCAGATCGATATCGCTCGTGAAGCTGACGTCCGTTCTGCTCCCTGGATCCACAAGATCTGGGGTTTCCAAGCGAACATCATGTCCCCTTTCTCCGTCTTCACGAACTGTGCGGCAAAGGGCTGCTGCTACAGTCGGCCCGGATATCTTCAACTGCCCGTCTTGAACGTGCCCATACAGATCGGCAGTTTTTGGTGTGCATGTTACATCGATCACGCGACAAATTGGTGTAGCACCCTCGCTCCAACCCAGGTCGATGGAGTCTGGCGAAGCCACAGCCGTGACAGTTGACGCCCAAGACCATGTAGGCGCCAAATATTGTGTAGGTCTTGGAAGCACGTCTGGTCTGTCGACTACCCCGCTTACAGAGAACCATAATAGCGCTCCCGGGAATTCACACTCCCATAACCCGGCTAGATATTTACCCATTCCTGGAAGTGCGATCTCTCTCGCGATACCAGATATGCCGGGAAGTCGATCTGTCCCGAACGTCAGTGCCCGCTGGGAGTACTCTTTGACGGACTTATTCCATGACCTTGCACGTGTTTCCGGATCTGTCGATGCTATTGCAGCGGCATGAGAGAGCTTGACCGTTTCCGGTTCCTCGTCCCAAAAACCAGTGGAATATTTGATGGTGTGACATTCACACCAAAGTTCTTCGCGACACTCCCACATTATCTCGCATTCAGTGTAGTGGAGTATCCTGGAAGCAAGCATTCGCTCTTGGAAACACCACGCACGGTCCAAAAGTGGCATCCCAATATTCGAACGATGCGATAAGACGAGTGTGCCGTGATATATCCGTCGTTGTACGTGGAAGCTACCGTCGATCGGTCCTGCTAAGTCATGGCTTGGTTCCCTCGGACGCAGACACCCCTCATCGCCGTTCTTGGAGCTTGTCGCAGCGATGACCAAGTATGCGTACTGGTACACCGCTGCCATTCGGGAAGCCTCTTTAGCCCAATCCTCATGGTCATCCTGGAGAATGCATAGTGAGTCGATCCAGACATATGGGATGCCGATGTTCCTGGTAATCGTAATAGCATCCTGGAACGTTCGCGTGAGCTCATTCCAAGATATGCCGAGCAGCCGAGCAGACAAATTCTTTGTCAAAAGCAGAGGCATGGCTTTCACACGTTGTTCTTTTACCCCCCATGCGTGGCTCAAGGCAATGTAGCGGGCGTCAGCTGGCATCCCACTCGAGCTGCACAGCTTGATGTCATCTGAGGATGAACCGACCGAGATGAGCCTCGTTGGCGTCGTTGACATATCTGTCCTAGGAGAGCATTGTGGATGCAGAGCGTTACACTTCCTAATCCACTCTCTGATTGTGTCAAAGCATGCCTGAGAGGCAGGGTCAGCCGGAATGTGACCTGCTGGCTTAATGTCCGAAAAGTAAGGGAGCTCATCTGAGAATGGTAAGTGAATGAAACAGGTGCCGTATCTCCTGTGATATATCAAACGAACCCGGATGATTGTAGAAATACAAATCCATTGGCAGAATTCCTGATTTAGGTTCGTTGCGAAAGTATATGGTCACACGTAGAGGTGTGTAGGGATCGTTGCGGACGTCAACCACGAGACTCCGATGGGGCTCGTACTCGCTCAGAGTGGCTTCGGTACTTCGATGACGACGGTCAGGAGGAAACGTGTACTTCTCGATTCCTCGAAGAAGTAGCTTGCATCGAACGCAGCCATCGCGTGCAGCCTCGCGCATGCTCGACAGGTGGGCAGTCCCCTCATGATTGCCGCCTAGACTCCAGCTGCAAGTGTCGGTGTCAGTCTGCTCTGACCACGAGGGCGCGTGAGGTAGCGTCGGGTTCATCTCGTGGTTGCGATGCGGGTGAATCTGTGAGACGTGGTGGGGTCTATGCGCCTGCTGTTCAGAACACGGCAGGCGCGACTAGGCATCAGGCATAGCCAATCTACATGCAGCAAAGAACAGTAAGCAAGGCATACTCTTTCCATAACTCCCAATAATCACCGCCTCACGATATGCAGCGTGTCAGATCATGTTTTACCTCATGTCTCGTGTACACGTTGCGCTTTCGTGTTTGGCAGGCAAGAGCTACCCCGTACCCTAGAGCTATACATGTCTTGAGCATGGTCCCATCATGCATGATTGCGTCATCGCCTAACAGCCCGCGGGCCACCAACCCCAACACCTGCGTCGCTTTTCTACACCACTCCCCGATGCACCGCAATATTGTCACTACCACCCTTACACTCGTGCGCTGCTGGAAAATCGCGCACCTCTTTACTAACAGGCACAAAGCTGCTCAAACTCCGTCTCACCCTCGTAAGGCTGCAAACAGTTATCTGCTAACCACTCATGCGTTCCCTCAACCACGCCAAAATTGAATGCGACGCGGCTCTTTCCGCTCTCATTAGCTTCACTAGTATGCATGAGATTACCGTGCATCAGAATCAGTGTCCCCGCTTTCACTTCGAGTTGTTTGTATACCAGATTTCCTTCATCATCCTTCTCCGGAGCCGCGGTGTTGGCCGACAACCCCTCAACGCTAGCATACACTGGCTTTGCCAGGTCAGCGAACTCGGGTAAGCCGTTCTTACCCACGCGACATCTTTGCGTGAGAGGATGTGTTATATGACTACCTGGAGCGACAGCCAGGCACCCGTTCTCAATGGCCGCATCTTCGAGGGTGTAGTCTGGTGATTGCACATCTGTGGCTATGGCCTTATTCTGGACAGGATACGATACACGAATTGCGATGTTGGTGGACGAGGAACACTGTTTGCAGGAAGGTTTCTTTGGTCTGTGTACGCGCGAATCAGTGGTCAACCTTCTTGATAAGACACGAGCATCACACTCCATAGCCGATGGAGATGGATATGCGATGCCTATGGCGAAGGATGCAGATGCCTGGACGTGACACGCCCGTGCCTCCCTTAGCGCGCTACGCCCCGCAAGGACGTCACCGCGGTACACCTTCCCTCCATGTCGACCACCCAGCAACACCATGGACGCACCAGTAGGACCAGGACAGCCGCTCCGACCTCTCCCTCTAACAACGCGACGCATCGACATCCAAAGTTACTTCACAGCATTGACAGGCCGTAGTGCCGATTTTCCTACGCCTACTGTGGTGGACACTACGCGACGGGAGCTACTTCGGTGAGTACCTGGGTAACAGGGTAGACTAATCGCGCGCCCGCATTAACACGCTACCAGAGCCATCCAAACGCGGCGATATATAGCGGACTGCATAAGAAGAGTTCGCAAGAAGATCCAAAAGTCCGTTGATAAAGCTGGAGAAGGCGCTAGCTGGGATGAATGCTACAAGCCCGTTCACAAGTACCTGTGCTTTAGCTCCGCGCAGACGCGGGCGTATAACTCGGCCACTGAGTAAGAATGAGTCCTTCTTGAACCTGGTTGACGATGACATTAATGTATGGTATAGGGACCTTGATCGAGCAGTCTACGATTATGGCGCATTGTCTTGCCGGCTACTCACCATGGAGATTATCCATGACCTACCGGAAGATATCAGAAGCAAGATCGCTGGATACTTGACGGACGAAGGCACACCAGTCGTACTGGCTGCACCGGCAGTTGCGTCTGATCAGACGTGTCCTAACAGGATCAGCGTCCGGGACGCGCTGGCAAACATGGTGACCGATGGCCGCAAACACTATCTCGACTGGAAGTACATGGGCTACATGACACACTACGTCGTAACGACCTGGTTCGCCGTCAACACCTTCCTCATCCACGACTCCGTAGCGTTGGACACTTTCTTCCGCGACATCCCGCTCGGCGACCAGGTCTTCCCCAGCATCGTGCCCGCGGAATACTTGTCGCGGTTGAACGTCGTCTTGCGGGGTGACATGAAAGACTACGAGCCTCAGAAGCGTGAATGTACGGGGAGGACTCTATGTATAAGGCCAGTGAGGCCCGCGGACGTGTTCAGCGAGCATCTTGAGCTTGTGCTTAAGATGAAGAAGCTCCGCGGGTTTAGGCTGCATGTTATGATCGAGGCGTCCGAGTTGGAAAGGGTCGAGGAGATATTGAGCGCGGTGAGGGGCGTGAGGGCGAGACTGATGAGTAAGGGTGTGAGAGTGCGGTTTACATGGGGGAGCGAGGAGCTGGATGGGTATTTCAGGGAACTGCAGAAGATTGGGGTGTGAAGTAGCGATATCTTTGGGCGACAGTGCCTTTGGGGTCTGTGGACGACTACCTCTCCAGTCCAATCAGACCCTCCACTTCCTGTGCAATCTTTCCAAACGCCATAGCACGCTCTCCCTCCGGTTCCGCTACCACAGTCGGCTTCCCACGATCAGCATCATCGCTGATACTCGCATGTAGCGGAATCTCGCCCAGCATGTTCAAATCGTACTTCCCGCACATAGCTCTAATCTTGTCCATATTCCCAAACACTTCATGCACGTCTCCGCAACCCGGGCATTTGAAACCCGCCATGTTGCACACCAGACCCAGTAGCTTTACATCGACTTTGCGGAACAGTTCGACACCCTTCACCGCGTCTTTGAGCGACAGATCCTGGGGCGTTGATACAATGAGTGCGCCGTCTAGGATGAGCTGCTGGGTGATGGTGAGTTGGACGTCGCCGGTGCCGGGTGGCATGTCGAGGACCAAGACGTCTAGACCACCCCATTCGACTTCGTGGAGGAGCTGCTGCAGGGCCTTCATGACCATGAGACCGCGCCATGCTACTGGTGAGGACTCTGGGATGAGGTAGCCCATGGACATGGACTTTAGGCCGTAGTTGGAGAGCGGGAGGAGTTGGTTGTCTGGGTTGTGGGATTAGAGGTTGATTGGAAGCTGGGTTGGTGTGGGAACTGACTTGCTGAAAGTCGGGGTTCGCCAGATAGATTGAGTAAGGTTGGTATTGATGGGCCGAAGATGTCGGTGTCAAGGATGCCGGCTTTGTATCCACGACGCGCGAAGCTTAAGGCGAGGTCGACTACAACGCTGCTTCAGTATTGCGGAAGGTGTTTGGTCATGGACGGTAAGATGTACCAGCGATAGTACTCTTTCCAACTCCACCTTTCGCGGATGAGACAGCAATCACTTTCTTCACATCTTTGATATTCCGCTTCTGTGGCAAGCCTCGCTGCATCCGCGGCATTTGCGGAGGCGCGCCTGAGCGCGGAAGACCCTGCGCTCGCCATCAGCTATTGCGCAATTGGCTTCCTCAATGAATGACATACCAGAGGATTCTCATGCTGCAGACATCGCAACGTCGAGAACAACCGTGGCTTCAGCATCGTCGTGGTAGAATCGGGGGTTGCGGAGTTGATGGCGGAGGTGACGCGCATCGGCGTTTCATTTAGCCGATGTCATTGAACTTTTTTGTGGGGCACAGAGTGAACTTTCTCTTCCGACGCGCTTCACCAGCAGCACCAACACCAAACCGCTTGTACACTATGGGCAAGTCAAAGATCAGAGGTATAAACTTTTCCTATATGCGCGACTGGCTCTTGCTCACATGACGACCAGATTTCGATCCCGAGTCGCTTCTCGACCCTGCGCCGAGCTCCAGCGAAGACGAGCGCTCCGACGCCGAAGTCTCCGAATTTGAAGATGGCAATGCTGGGCGCGAACATTATACGTCGGTCGGAAAGAGCAAGCTGAGGAAGCCGGTTGAGGTGCCTCTGGGTCCGGAGTATACTGGGCGCAAGGTGGACCGCAAAGCACTCGAGGACAGCGACAGCGACGATCCTTTTGCGAAGGGCTTCGACGATATAGACAGTGATGAAGACGAAGAGGATGGCATCAATGGCGTAGAGCTCGATGGCGAAGATGAGAGCGACGAGGAAGACATGAACGGCGATTTTGACGAAGACATGAGCGACGAGGATGAGGACATGGGAAGCGCAGGCGAAAGCGGGACCGACGACGAGGCCAACGACTCCGAAGGCTCAGACGATGATGAGCCTGGCGCCGAAGCCAAAACCGACGCGTCCACGATCCGCGACCTCATGTCCGCCAACAAGTCCTTCACGTCGGGCATCGCTGCTGGCACCCAGTCCGATGTCGCCAAGGGAGAGGCCGTCAAGACCCAACGGAAGACGTTCGATACGCTACTCAACTCGCGCATTCGACTACAAAAGGCCTTGATTTCCACAAACTCCATGGCTGCAGAGCCTTACAAGACGGAAACCGCAAAAGACGCGCCCATCGAGGCAGCGGAGGCAGCTGCCCTGACCCTCCTCAACAACCTCACGAACCTGCGCCTCTCCCTCGAAGAATCGCGAACAGGTACGAAGCGGAAGCGCCCAACCTTCGACTCCGCGACCCCATCATCCGAAATCTGGACCACCATTCAAGCCAGCGAGAAAACCACTCTCCCCCACCGCAAAGCCGTCCTGGAGCGCTGGTCCAACAAAACCAAAGCCACAACCGTCACAAACAACAAAGCGCGCCTCAACGCATCCGCCCAACAGACCCTAACCGAAGTCCTCGATTCCCAGCTAACATCCCCCCACCTGGTCCTCCGCACCCAAACCCCACGTTCCTGCGCGCCCCTCCAATCCTCGACCAAAACCCCCCAACCCTCGCCCACCATCTACGACGACGCCGACTTCTACGGCCTCATGCTGAAGGAACTCCTCGAACAGCGCTCCGCCGATCTCAACAGCAACGGGACCGCGGAGTTCGTTGTGCAGGCGCCGTGGCAGGTTGCGCGCGAGGCCAAGACGAAGAAGGTTGTTGATACGAAGGCGAGTAAGGGGAGGAGGTTGAGGTATACGGTGCAGGAGAAATTGCAGAATTTTATGGCGCCCGAGGAGAGGGGGCAGTGGGGGGATAGGCAGAGGGATGAGTTGTTTGGGAGTTTGTTTGGGCAGAGGGTGGGGCTTGGTGAGGGTGATGAGGTGGAGAGTGAGGTGGAGGAGGGTGTGGATGCTGGGGAGGCGGGGTTGATGTTGTTTAGGAGTTAGGGGATGAGGAGGTGCAAGGCAGATTTATGTCATGCAGTTGGCCTGATGTTATTAGAAAGTATATTATACTTACGATTTCTCTCATTCGTGAAAGTATCTCTTCGTCAAGGTCGTCTATGTTGCGGAAGTTAGATATAAGTGGGCTGAGGGGATTCAAGGCAGATCAGTTCGCGAAGATCTTAGTTTGTCTTCACTGTGTTTGCTGTGCTTGTCCCCGGGCTGCCGTTCATCGTGGTTAGGCTTGATCGCGCAGTAGTGAGTTGTCTTGTTGGCTGCTTTACGGTTTTGGTGGCGCATGTCAGCGAGCTCAGCCCCCAATCTGCATGCGCATCTTGGTTGGCGCGACCAATCCCATCTTTACCTTCCAGCCACTTACTCAGCCATCGCTTCTCAGCCTTGAACTATCATGCCATATCTATAAGGTAGCCTTCCCGCGCTCTTGATTGTGACTTTGATTCCATCCGACATCGAACTAACATGCCACCGTTCAACGCGTCGCACTCACACCTCGCGCACAATGCAACGTTCAATGCCAGCGTCCCTACGAACACGACTTGCTGTATGTTGCGTTTCAGTCCAACCTCATCAGTATTCTAACTGACGTACTGACAGCCGATGCTTCATTGACACACGGCGTGTCATGGCAAAGCGCGTACTGGTCCGTCATGGCCTGCTCTCTAGCCGTCCTCCTACAAGAGACGGGAAAAGTCGTCAATGCACCATACCGTATCAGCTATGCTCTACGCGCATCTCCGCTTATCTGTGCGATCGACACTTTCCTCATGTTGGTGAAGTTCGTAGTCCTGATGGCTGTGGGTTGCTCGCCTCGAACTGCAGTCAAGCATGTCTGGTATGATCGCTTTGTGGAAGATGAAGATATAGGGGATGTATCGTGGGTGGTTTGGGTTTGGCGGGACTTTGCGCGGACAAAGGATCAGAGCAGTACGACTGCTGTCGACGCCTCCAGCATGGCAGCTCCACAAGACAATGTTCCTCCTGTCGATGGTGAAGCTCAGGGTACATTCTTGGCTGCTCTTTCTAGTCACGACAATGAAGAAAGCTGTTTAGCAGACATGCAACACCCGACTACTATAACTCCCAGCGGAACGGTCGAACATGCTTCAATTGTGCATCACGAACAGTCTCCAAACAACGCTACCGGCGAAGCCTCACCCACAGTCGGACCATCGCTTGATCGTCCCAGCCCTTCCAAAGAGTCTGTCAAGTACATGAAAGATCTCCCTGGCTGCGCCGTCGATCGCAGCTGGAGACTGAGTATGGTCAGCTTCATCTTCGGCGCATTACCGCAGGCCGTCAAGGTCTTCGCTATGAAGGGAATACCGGTTACACAGATTGTAGTCGCCTTTTTACTCAGCTCATTCGTCACCGCGGAGGTTTTCCGCTCGGTTGCTGGGCCCGTTGGTCTTTTCAATCTTTGTCACTCACCAGGCGTCCTTCGTTGCAAAAGAATTCTGGCATCCACGCATTTTACGCACCTCGCTTTCATCGCGTGTTATCTTTATCTCATTCTCTTTTCGTTTGTTATGGTGCTTTTGACCGTTCCGGGACCGGCAGGCTCGATACGTAACGGGGTATTTGCCTGTAGTATCTTGTCCTGCTTTGCAGTTACATCGTGGGTCTCAAATCGCACGGTTGATCTGCTCGAACACTACGTCTTCTCTGAGGCTTTTACAGCTTATGTCAGGAGCAGGTCGCTATACATCAGCCGCAACAAGCCTTTCGATAGATTTCGTGCAAAGCTGTTGTTACTCGTTCCGAATGCACTTATGCTAGGACCGTCTCGTGTAGAGTCGTATGCTACTTGGATGGTTGTGTTTCCAGGCTTCTTTGCTGGTGTCGCGTGGGTCTACTGGCGGCTCTCCTCCTTGATGGTTAACTTTAGCTGGGGTACGTTCGCGATAGTCATGAGCCCTGCTTGGATGATCACGCCTGCGTATATTCTCATACTATCGCACTTCTTGTATCAGCTCATATTTGCGAGTTCCCTTGCCGATCCTATCCGATATATATGCGGCGTACAGGGCACGCTAGACGAGTTTGCAACAGGGACGTTTCTTATCTTTAACTTAGGGCTTACGCTCTACATGTATAGTGTTGTATCTGGATTTGATAATGACTTAACGTTTAAGCCTGATTGGACGGAAATGCTGGGATGAACAGAGAAACACATTAAATTATTCCCTCGACTCTAGTACTCCAACGTGCATTCGAGAGATAGCAAGTACTGTGTACCAGACCTCATCACTAAATCGGCGGCTTCTCCTCCCCCTCCTTATACTCCACAGCAATTTTCTTCGCCCCCTTCGTCGGCTCCGGGTAACTCGTCCTCCTCCTCGCCCTAACATAGAAGTTCATCGGCCTAATAAGCTGAAACTCAGGGTCATACGTCACCGCCTCCTCACCTTCCTTACTAAACTCGTACCTATACACCAGCTCCGGCAATAAGACCTTGACCTCCCCAAGCGCAAAGTTGAAGCCAATACAACTACGCGGGCCAGTCGCAAATGGCATGTACGAGTTCTTGGGGCGGTTGGAAACCTCCTCTGTGCCCCAGCGGTCGGGGTCGAAACGATCGGGGTTCGACCAGATCGCAGGGTTATTGTGGATGGCGTGCAGGGCGCAGATGACGACGGAGCCGGCGGGCAGCTTGTAGCCGCCGGGGACGATACAATCGACCTTAGCGGTGCGTCCAGGTTGGAAAGAAGGGTTATGCAAGCGCTGGGTCTCCTTGACGAATTTGTCGAGGAAAGTGAGGCCGTCGGAGAGTTCAGGCGTCCACTTGGTGTTCTCGTTCACGCCCGCGTCGACGAGTTCCTGGAGGAGGCGCTCTTGGTTGCCTTCGTAGACGCAGAGGGAGTAGAGGAGCCAGGAGAGGAGGGAGGAGGTGGTTGTGAAACCTGCGCCGGAGATGGGAAGCATGTTTGGGATGACGAGTTCGCGGGGGAGTTTGTTGCCGTTGTCGTCGGTGGCGCGCTTGAGGTAGTCGACTACGCAGCTGGCTCCTAGGGCTGCGGACTGGAGGGGTAGGTCGTCTTCGTTGCTGCCTTTGGGGGCTTGGTCGATGGCTTGGTTGAGGATGGTCCAGAGTCTGTAGCGGATCTTGTCGAGGTCGTAGGCTGCTGTGAAGGGGATGGCGCTGAGCTTTGCGTACCAGGCACCTCTTGACGCGACCTTCTTATTCAGGGAGAGTGATTGGGCGATCAAGATGACGAGCTCGCTCAGCGGCGCATCGGGGTTGTCGAAGTGGTGCGCGTCGTATCCGAGCGCAAACTTGAAGACGGTCTGGGATGCGAGCTTCAACATGTACTGGTAGACGTTCCAGGCTTCGCCCTGCTCATCGAGCTGGTCAAAGACCTTGAATGAGTCCTTTACCGAGGCTTCCATGAGAGGTGTGTAGTGTCTGATAGCCTTGGGTGCCATGGAAGGCGGGATGAACTTATGCGCTTGTCTCCACGCATCGGTGTCGGTATCGCAAATGAACAACGCCCTGTTGTCCTTGATACCCGCCAAAGGATGCTCAGGGGTGATGTGTTTGCTGAAGAACGCCGACTCCTGGAAAGCCACAGTCGCGATAGCAGGGTCATTGGTCAGGTAATTCTGCTTGCCCATCGTCTCGTACTTGATCAACGATCCGTACTTCTGGAAAAGACGCGCATGGTTTCCCTGAGCTGGTTAGTGGTAGTTCGCGCGCCTGTCGAGTTGAACTCACGAGATGATCGGGAAAGACCTCGTAGTAGCTTCCCACGAAAGGAAGACCCTCTGGGCCTGAAGGGTCGCGGATGGCCTGTCCGTCGACAGTAATGCCTATATCCTCGTCGCAATCCAATACATCGTCCAAATCGTGGAGGTCCTGTCCCTTGGCATCTTGCAGCCCGATACCTGCAAATCGTAAGTCCATGCCTACACCAACACAACCATCTCACATACCAGTCGACTGAATGATATTGTACTGCTCCGCTACAGCAACCTGCAGCGCCTCAAAGTCATGATACTGATCAATGTGAATATCCTGACGAAAGACATTCTTGTCCTGCCCGACGAGGTAAAAGCCCTTGATAGTCATGGTGCGATGCAATGAAGTTTGGAATAACGGTTGAGCGTCGCAATCTTGACAGGACTATAACGCGACTAAATGAGAGCACACCAAACTACGTATCCATCTTGCAACCCACCACCTGCAGGCATCGTCTAGTCCGTAGAAATGACGCATCGCCACTGACCAACCTCCGGCTTGCGCTCCATCGTACGAAAAAGCGCCGAAGAGCCCAATGCACCCTTCAACGCGCGCCAAAATAAAGCAAAAAACACTGCAGGTCGTGCGAACCCAGCCCGGCCGAAGCCGTTGATCGAAATTTCGTTCGAGGTAACAGATTTAGCAAGTATGCGTTGCGCGTAAGGAGCTTGGACCGAGGCCACTCGCGTGGTGGCACCTCCGATTGTCAGCGGAGGCTTGATTGGTTTAAGCATCGAGATGCCGAGGTAAGTGGGGGGCTTGGCTCCACCAACACCGGACACCTCGTGGTAGCCGCTGCGAATAGCGCTGTCATTTGTCATGGCGCAACAACAGATCCTGATGTTGCGAATGTCCGAGATCTCGGTCGCGGCGCATGCGTAGTGGATCGCGTATGCCCGTTGCATGAGGCTATTGCGACGATGAAGGGTCTTGGCCACAGGCCTTCATCGTTGCCATTCTTCTCCCTGGCGCCCCTTTAGTGACGGACGGAACGCATTCATCCCAAGGTTCTCTTTCGATTCTCTCAGTCATTGCAACCGGATCATCAAGAGACGGGCGCGTAAACAAGAAGACACCATGGCCGACGGTGTATACACTCTCCAGGAGGTAGCTCAGCATACCAGCAAGACAGATCTATGGGTCACCCTCTGGAACCACGTCTACAACGTAACCGACTACCAAGAAGACCACCCAGGCGGTAAAGAGTTCCTACTCGAGAACGCCGGCACAGATGCGACGACCGCCTACGAAGACATCGGCCATTCCACAGACGCACGCGAGATCCTCGAGAACTTCCGCATTGGGCGCATCGCAGACGAAGACTGGACCGACCATGAAGCCGCAAAGATGCCTACAATCACACCGAGCAGAGTGCATGTTGTTAACAACTTGCCTCCGCCGAAATCGTGGCGGTTGCATCTAGGTGCTATTGGCTTCGGTCTGACATCTGTCGTGCTATCCATAGTCGCAGGACGACGCTTCTCGCCGCTGCTGCACCGACTACAAAGCGCCGGTTTCTGGAAGGGCTTCGCCGTGTCCTCCATCGCGAGTATGGCTCTAGCCGGCTATGCCAGCTTATGGGCAACCAAGAGCTTCGACGTCGCGCACAAAGACTTCCAATCCTACCCCGCGCACATCAAAGCCAAATCCATGTCGTCGAAGCCAACGAAGAAAAAGGACATCAACCTCGGTGTGCTCAACGCCCGCGTCTACCAGCCCTTCCCCTTGATAGACAAATTCAACATCTCCCACGACACCATCCGCTTCGTCTTCGGGCTGCCGAACGAGAACTCCGTGTTGGGGCTGCCAACGGGCCAACACATCGCCATCAGACACGAAGTCGACGGGAAGCAACTAGCACGCTCCTACACGCCTACGTCTAGCAACAAGGACCGCGGACGTCTGGAACTGACTGTCAAGATCTACGAAGGCGGCAAACTGACACCCTGGTTGAGCAAGCTGAACGTCGGCGACACCGTCGAGATCCGCGGACCAAAGGGCGAGATGAAGTACCACAAGAACCTCGTCAAGGAACTCGGTATGATCGCCGGCGGCACGGGCATCACACCCATGTTCCAGATCATCCGCCGTATCTGCGAGGACCCGCGCGACGATACCAAGACGACGCTGCTGTATGCCAACAAGACTGAAGAAGACATCTTGCTCAAAGAGGAACTCGACAAGTTTGCGGCGCAGTACGAGCAGTTCAATGTGCACTACGTTTTGAGCAGCCCTTCGGAGAGCTGGAAGGGCGACAAGGGCCGTATCAGCAAGGAGATGATTGAGCAACGCTTGCCTGCACCGGCTGGTATGGACACCAAGATTCTCGTTTGCGGGCCGGACCCGATGATGGACTCTATGGTTGGCTACTTGCAAGAACGCGGCTTCAAGGCACCTGGTATGTTGACACCATTTGACAACCTCCGACGCAACATCCATGCTAACTCATATCCAGGCAAAATCTCGAAGCCCCAAGACGAAATCTTCACTTTCCAGTGATTGTCCCAATCGGATTGCGGAGGCTCACGATGGCGATGGCGGTGATGGGAGTGAGGCGCTATTGGACAGATAATTGATCAAGACTTGTTTTAGATACATATTTCGTAAACTTATGCCGTTGTAGTCACTACCAAGATAAACTTTACATCTCTCAACCAATGCATTCACTTCCATACTCTACTCATGTATCCGAGGTATCTTGAAAAGCGCCCATGTGAAGAACGCCTAAACGCCATTCAAGATGCAGTTCGGCCGACGAAGCACCGCGCGTCTCGCATGCATTGGCGCAAATGCTGCGTCTCGCACGATACAAAAGCACCGTACGAATGACGTCGATACCCGATCGGCACTGCACGGATGTGTACCAGGTCGTTGGGCGAGTGACGCAACTTCTACATGAGTCTAGTGCGCGTTAGCGTGTACCGTCAATATACATCATGCATCTAGATGCGTGTGAGAAAGCTACGGAATCAGCAATAACCAAGAGACGACGACGACTGTTGTCTTGACTCAGACGAACAAACAACGGAAATGTCTCTTTGCGCAAGACGACTATCAAGAGGCGTTCGGCGGGTCTCGGCCGAGCCGTCTGCGAGCTATGCGACGACGCGATGCTTGAGCACGCGTATAATTACACTGGAACCGGAATTGAGAACTGTCAATACATCTTTCCGCACTCGCTCAACGCCGTTATCATACTCAATCATGGCGAATACGCAAACACGAGCTGCATCCAGCAGCACACAACCGCAATGGACGGCACCAGACACATCATCGAGACCAGTCGCCGTTCTGGGCGGAGGAGTCTTGGGTCGACGAATCGCTGCTTCATGGGTCGCTGCTGGCTATGAGGTCGTGTTGTGCGATCTCAGTGACGAGCAGAGGAACGCCGCGACACACTACATCGAACACCACATGGACGAATTCTCGAAACTTACCGGTAACGCACGGAAACCAACGCAATTCAAGACTGTCAAAGACATTGCAGAGGCAGTCAAGAACGCGTGGTTGGTGGTTGAAGCATTGCCAGAGAAGCTTCCGTTGAAGATCGACATCATGGGCCAGCTTCAACAACAAGCACCGAAGGATTGTATCCTAGCTTCCAACTCTTCGTCGTACAAGTCGCGGTTCATGCTCGATAAGGTGGACGCGGGTAGTCGGCATCGCGTTTGCAATATGCATTACTACATGCCTCCGGGTAACAACGTTGTCGAGCTTATGACGTGCGGTGAGACGCATGCAGACATTCTGCCGTTTCTGCAAAGCAAACTTCATGACGCGGGTATGACTCCGGCTATCGCGCGTAAGGAGTCGACCGGTTTCATCTTCAACCGGTTATGGGCTGCTATTAAGAGGGAGAGTCTGCTCATCATGGCGGAGGGTGTTTCGGAGCCGGAGGAGATCGACAGGCTTTTCTTGACGATGTTCAAGGACAATCCAGTCGGACCTTGTGGAATGATGGATGCGGTAGGATTGGACACCGTTGCGTTCATCGAGAACAACTATGTTGAAGAGCGCGGCGGCGACCCCACAGCGCGAGACTGGGTTCAGAGGAACTTTGTTGAGAAGGGAAAGCTCGGCGCGAAGTCTGGCAAAGGCGGTCTGTATCCCGCTGGGGAGACGACGCGGAGCTCCAAAGACGAGAGCGGCCATCACGACAACCTCGCGGCGCCCAGACTGTACTTCCTCGACATTGGCATTGGGGGCAATGTTACCGACTTGCAGAAGATGGCCACGTCTGGCAAGATCATGACGGCTTCGGCGGATGGAAGTAACGTGCGCGAGATCGTCGGCGGCCAAGCCATGCCAGACGGTATCGACGTGTCCATCTCAGCTGGTCGCATCTTCTGGACGAACATGGGCGCGTCTCCCGCGAAGAACAACGGCAGTGTCATGTCCGCGAACCTCGACGGTACCGACGTTCAAGCCATCATTCCGGAAGGCCAGATCCACACACCCAAGCAGCTCAAGATCGACCACGAGAACAAGAAGTTGTACATTTGCGATCGGGAAGGCTTGCGCGTCCACCGATGCGACTTTGACGGCAGCAACCACGAGATCATCGTGCAAACGGGCGACTCCAACTCAGCGGATGGAGAAGACCAGACAAACTGGTGTGTTGGTATCGCAGTCGACCCTCAGGGCGGGAAGTTCTACTGGTCGCAGAAGGGCCCGTCCAAGGGCGGCAAGGGCCGCATCTTCCGCGCGAATATACAGATGCCCGCCGGCGAGACTGCATCCTCCCGCTCTGACATCGAACTGCTCTTCGACCACCTGCCCGAGCCTATTGATCTGGAGTTCGAGGCTGATAGTCAAACGCTGTACTGGACCGACCGCGGCGAGTATCCACTCGGCAACACGCTGAATAAGGCGTATGTAGGTGCCGAGACAAAGGAGGAGAAAGGCGTTGTAACGCTAGCGAGACATTTCCACGAGCCAATTGGATTGAAGATAGATGCTGTGAACCGTCATGTTTACTTGACTGACCTAGGTGGCACCGTGTACAGGTTCGACATGGACGGAGGGAGGAAGAAGAAGATCTATGAGACGGACAGCGCGTACTCTGGTATCGCACTTGCGCACCTGCACTGAGTAGACATATAACCCTGTTATTAGTATCAGTAATGTAATTGTGAAGATGAATTCGAGGCGACTGCAGTGATGAGCTGGTCAGATGAAGTTGTCGGTGTCTGAGCTTGAGCATTCGCCGACGCACCCTCGGCATCCAAAACCCACCGAGGGTCCAAGCTCCTCAACACCAAAACATTCCGACCACCCCACGCGACAATTGCGCTGCGAACGCCGTTCCTCCTTCCCCTCCACCCAGGGCGCCGACCTCAATTCCCTCACTGCATCATCGCGCAATATCTACCGTCACGATGAACACAATCTCGAAACCCCCAACAATAAAACGCATCTCAGGCCCCAAACGCTTCCTCGGCGTCCTCGTCGGCATAACCGGCGGCCTCTCCGCCAACGTCCTCCTCGCCTACAGCGTCTCCTCCTTCTACACGCGCAACACAAAATTCGTGCCTTACGACGCCTCCTCCCCCGACCTCACCACCTCCGTCTTCCGCGCGCACAACCCCAACGGCAACCCGCCTGGCTGCATAGACCATGCGATAAAGCAGATTCCGTATGGGAAGCTGCCGGAGAAGTACTGGGTCAAGGGCGATGGGGGCAGGATATCCGTTGATCAACCGGCACTCACGACGGACCTTTGCAGGGGCATTTGGAGCGGCGTGGCGTTTAGGGTGCAGAGGAGGTTGTTGGAGAAGTGGTATCGGAATGTGGAGGGCAGGGATACGCATCTGTGGGATGTGAAGGAGTTGGCGAAGAGCGAGTATGCGGTTGGGACGAAGATTGTGGATCACTTTGAGGTTGTGGAGCATAAGGATGATAAGGTGAGATTGCACCTTCTATTGGAAAGAATGCTAGCTGACCCAAGTTTTTTCATAGGTTATTGTGCGATGCGGCGACTCGCCACACGTTTCCGAGCCCCGACCCTCGGATGGACTCTTCTCTATGGAGGTCTCGAAAGACGATGCGGCGCAGATGGCTACTTTCCACCTCAAGTCGGTCTTTGTGGATACGACGCCAGAGGGCAAGGACGCTGGACCGCAACCTGGGCATATTCAATGGCTGCATAGGCTGTACACTAAGCTCTGGATGGAGAGTGCGACGCGCAAGTTGATCAAGGAGGCATAGACATGATACCATCGCAATGCAAACTATTCTGGTTACGAAGTACCCTAATTTGGTCAGGATTGGAAACGCTGTTTATGATGGATGACCAGCGCGCAAAACGATCGGCGTGCGGAGCTCGCCCCGCCCGTTCGGTCGCAATCCCAGACAGCAGCGCAAGCGCAAAAGCAAGTCTATCCGTAGCTCGAGCTCGATGCGGGGATCAGTCATCGTGACATACGTCAGCGGATCGGCGTGCGTCGAACAGCCGGTACCCATTCGTTCCAATCATAATGGTCCGGAGAAGTGCTTCACAGCACCATACCTGAGATCCCTAACTTCGCAAGCTTGTTTCAATTTGTTGCTCTTCCACTTCTTCTACACTCAACTGCTAACTACAGCTAATTACTTCAATACCAAAACAGACACATTGCCTTCCATCACAACACTCCCGAGACTCTCTACAACATGGGCGTTATGAGCGTAACCTCCGAAACCATCTTCAACTACCCACCCGAAATCATCTACGACTTCGTCTCTAATCCTGAAAACTGGGGCCGCACATACGGTGGCAGCGCTGGCTTGCCAGAAGGGCAGAAGTTGATCCTCCCCCTCAAAGTCGGCGACGTCTGGATCGAAGAAGTCGCTTTGCCAAACAATACCTACCACCCAAAATGGGTAAGTCTTCCGATATACGAACTGCCGAAATTCTTCCAGAGCTCTACAGATCGTGTATTTAGACAATCAACAATCCATCAGAACTGCTTGTGAGACATAAGCTGACTTCGTACATCGACATCTCAGGTCCTTGACATCGCCGACCGCGGTCACAAGTTCGCCTTCCGTCAAATCAACAACATCGCAGCCGGAGTTGATGGAAGCGGCGGTGTTCCGGGGTACTGTTGGATCACGTATACCTTCACGAAAGCCGGGGTCGGCCTAACCCTGTTTACACGGAATCTGACGTGTGAGCTTGACAAAGGTGTTAATGTCCCCGAGGATCTCTGGTTAGCGATGTCGAGACCGAGTGGCATCGACAAGTATCACGACAAGATTAAGGGATTGCTTGATGAGGAGATGGGTAAACACAAGATTTTGTCGATATAGAGTGGTTATGATATTAACAGGAGTGATTCTTACGAACAGAAGAAGAGAGTTTATGCAGAAACTGCTTGTTACGTTTTTGGGTGATGGTGGACTTCTTCCTCTCTACACCTAGGCAGTGTCCGCATTACTCTACTAGAAACCCTGGAAAGACTAGCGGGACAGAGAGGGATACCCGTGGACACAACTCGAGACGGGTGGGGTGCAGAGGCGGGGCGAAGAACCTAACGCTAACCTGCATCCGGGTTTGGCGTTGTCGCTGTACATCCTAGGCAGCCAGGCACTCGCAACCTCACACCCAGTTTGTAGCGTCGTCTTGGGATTCCAACATTTCCGGTCTTTATGCTGATGTAAACGGCAGCGCACCTACTTGGTTTCCCTCGTACGAAATGAACATAATGCTCACCGTGGTACCAGCCCGCACTTGCATCTCAGTTGTACGCATCGCAACTTTTGCTTACTTACAGGTCAAGGCCTAGCTCGGCCGACACCTCAGTCATCACGTACAATTGTACAACAAATGTACGCGCTGATCAAGCAGAGAAGAACAGAAACATTACCTTATGGACTCCTTATCTGGAGTGTCATTTGATCCGTCCATTAGTTGACGACCTCGGAAATGTAGTACCCCGCATGCACAACAACCCCGCACAGTATTCACTGGACCATCAATCACAGGTCAACGTTGCGGCTGTGAACCTTCGCCCCGGTGTATGCTGTCCTACTAAATCGTCCTCCACGGAGCAGCTTTGGGTCACGCACAGCTGTCAGCATTGGCGACTAATACGCCCGACGCCCGATGCCCGCTGTGGTGTGAGATGACATGTACCCGTTGTCGATCTATAAAGTTGTGATGCCTTCCGTTGCGTTTTGCTCTTCCATCAGGGTCTAGTAGATTCACACCCACTTTCCCAGTCTTTAGTCGTATCATAGCTCCAAAGATGGCGCCAGATCTGAACACGATAGGCAGCGGCAAGCAATGGGATTACTCAACGCCTGGCTCTGGCGGCTACAGCGTCCCCGACATCGTCTATAATGTATGTCCCGATACCCCTAGCTCCTAACAAGGAACTGATCATATTCCAGGACCCTTCATCGCGAAAGCTCAAGGTGCTGACTATTGGAGCCGGCTTGTCTGGCATCCAAATGGCGTACCATATACAGAAACACACGCAGAACGTCGAGCATGTCATCTATGAGAAGAATGCTACTCTAGGAGGAACATGGCTCGAAAACAGGTATCCAGGTACAGGCACTTGTGAATCATCGCGTGAGTGAGCTGACCCCTGCAGGTTGCGCCTGCGACATCCCGTCGCATGCCTACACCCTCAACTTCGCTCTCAACCCAGACTGGCCGCGCTTCTTCTCCTACGCACCAGACATCCAAAAGTACCTCGAAAAGGTCTGCGATGTATTCGACCTGCGCAAGTACATGACATTCAACACCGAAGCCGTGCGAGCCGAGTGGCAAGACGACATCGGCAAGTGGAAAGTCACGCTTCGCCAGACGTCATCTTCCGGCGAAGAACGAGAGTTTGAAGAGGAATGCGATCTTCTTCTCTACGCTTCCGGCATCTTGAACAACTACAAGTGGCCTGGTATCAAAGGCATCAACAGCTTCAAGGGTCGCATCGTCCACACCGCAACATGGCCGAAGGACTATCAAAGTGAGCAGTGGAAGGACGATCGCGTGGCGGTCATTGGCTCTGGTGCTTCATCTATCCAAACGGTACCGACCATGCAACCACATGTAAAGCACATGGATATCTTCGTCCGAACCGGAGTGTGGTTCGTCCAAATCGCGAACAACTATGGCCAGAACAAGGAGTACTCGCAAGAGGAGCGCGATGAGTTCCGGAAAGACCCGCGTAAGCTCGTTGCGCATGCCAAAGATATCGAGAACCAGGTCAACGGGTTGTGGGGCGCGTTCTACGCTGGAAGTGAAGCGCAGAAGGGTGCGCAAGAGCTGTTCAGGGAGAGGATGAAAGAGTTCCTGAAGGACGAACGACTTTTGGAGGGATTCACCCCGAAGTTCGAGGTTGGCTGTAAGTTCCATGCCACCCTTCACAGGAACGCTCACTGATCTTCTGCAGGCCGTCGCATAACCCCAGGCGACCCTTACATGAAAGCCATCCAAGAGCCAAACGTCGACGTGCACTTCACCGCCGTAAACGAAATCACCTCAACCGGCGTCATCGGCGCCGACGGCATCGAGCGCCCCGTCGACACCATCGTCTGCGCCACCGGCTTCGACGTAACCTACCGCCCACGCTTCCCCATAATCGGGCGCAACGGCGTCGACCTCTACGAAAAATGGAAGTCCGAACCCAAAGGCTACCTCGGCCTCGCCTGCCCCGACATGCCCAACTGGCTCATGTTCGTCGGCCCAACCTGGCCGGTCGAAAACGGGTCCGTCACCGGCCCCTTGTTGGCAGTCGCAGAATACACCATCCAAATCATCAAAAAGATGCAACGCGACCACATCAAATCCTGGGTGCCCCGCCAATCCATCACCGACGCCTTCAACGCCCACGCCCAGGAATGGATCAAACACACCGTCTGGAAAGGCAGCTGCAGATCCTGGTACAAGAACAACGAGACCGGGCGGGTCAACGCCGTTTGGCCAGGCTCTTCGAACCAGTACGCCGAGGTTATTGAGACGCCAAGGTATGAAGACTTTGAGATTGAGTATATGCATGAGAATCCTTGGGCAAGTCTGGGTATGGGGTATGCGATGAGGAATAAGTTGTTTCCTGAGGCGGATGTTAGTCCGTATTTGGCGGTGGAGAATATTGATCCGGAGTGGTTGAAGGCTATTGGGTATGAAGGGCCCGCGGGGGTGGTGGAGGAGGTTAGGGAGAGGAAGGAGGGGGTTGAGGTTGAGAGGACGGGGGTTGATGGGGGGATTGGGGGTGCGGGTGGGAATACGCTGACATAACGTTGCTGAGCTGAATTCTTTATGATTATTTCGAGTGATTGTAGAGCTAATTTATGCGCAAAGTTACACTTTGGTGAGTGTAAGCACGTACTTCTTCGTATTCGGGAAAGAATGTGCTAAACCTGCGCGCCGTATGGATACGCGGATGGCCCATTCAGGACCCTCGCCCTCCGTTTGATTCCGAATACAAAGAGTTTTACGATCGGGGAAGCGATCTGGTTTTGGCTGCGCGTTCGGCAGTGGTGGTGGAGGGAATAGTGGCCAGGGCGGCACATTCGGACTTTTGATGCTAGGCCCAATCTCAGCGGTAAACCAAGGGTTGCGGTTTACGTAGACGGAGACGACTACTATTAGTTCTAGACCGCCGGTAAAAACAAATCGGAAACGGAAAGTGTCCTTCTGCTCGCCACTATAATAATCCCACATTTCTAGAGGAAGAAAGATCACCTCCGTGCTGAGCGTTTCCTCTAAGATTCCCGCATTGTGGCGGTCGGAAGATACATGCGAAATCTCGGAGTGCAGTTCAGGGTCTAGGACGATTTGCATCAGCGAACGACCTTGATCTTGAATACTGGACGCAGACGTATGCCAACGGTCGTCCATCGACGTGGTTACATAGATAGAAGCGTAGCGAAAGTTTTTCAAAGTATCCAGACGAAGGCATATTAGAGTACCCTGCTCTCCCGAGGTGTCCCAGTCTCTTTCAAAACGAGACTCGTTACCCTTATCTTGACGTAACATGATGCACAAGAGAAGCGTATCAAATGATGGACGGTCTAGGCATGCGAGGCAGGCATACCAAGATCTTTCTTCGTGACGAAATAGAGGTAGACTGAGTCGGCAACCACGGCTTGTCATTTGCGGAGGTGAGTGATCTTCAGGGGGCGGAAGTACAGAGAAACAGGTCTTTGACAAGTTCTCGCGACGAGGAATTAACTCGGATTCGCCTGATAGCTCCCTAGAGACCGAATCGATTACCGGCATGAAGGTCTTGAAATCCGAAGGCGAATTGGCTAGAAGGCTTTCGGTCATAACGTAACCCCCCGAGACGGAACCCTCCGGCAGTAATGCGTCCCAAGCAAACAGAGTGTAGTCTTCGTCCACGCGAAGGATCTCTTCTTGAAGGCGTCGAAATGCACGTTTGCCTTCTCCGTAGAGAAGGGGCATATTCACACCGAGTATGCCAAACAAACAGTACGCCTTGTCCTCCAAGCGACTAGTCTCGCGACGTGCCGCCCATGACAATCTTACGGCCACGGCGTAATTGAGGGGATTTCCTCCAGTAAGTACATTCCGACTAATACCAGTGATTCTGGTTAGGTCGTGTTGGAGGCTACTGCGCGTTCCGATCTCTGACCAGAGAACGTCGTAAAACTCCACGATTGGAGGCGCAATAAGCTCTTGTAACGTCCATCCTCGTGTGAACCATTTCGAATCGCGGAAAGCTTTCCATCCTTTTGGTTCGGGGTTATCGTAAACGTCCTCAAGGTAAGCGTAACAGATGCACGCGTTCTTGTACCATTGGTACATAGAGTTGATAGCCTCAGATAACTCAGCGCTTGAAGTCTTGTCGATACAACAAGTGTCAATCCAACAGTATGCGAACCCATCGTCTTTCGCTCTCCTGCAACAGCCCGTAAGCTTTGCATAGCCTTTCTTCGCCGGTGCTTTGCCAGACAAGAGGTCCTGAAGAGTAACTTCCTCCTCCCTCCAGGTGTGGGAGAGGATCACGTACTCCGGCACCTGGCTTTCCAGAAATTCTTGCACCTCTAATGTGGACGTGTTAAGCAGCCGCATGTTTGCGGTGTGTCGTTGTTGAATGCAATGTCGGCCACCAGGCTGAACAACGTCTCAGCCGATGTACATTGGTTAGCGAACGATGAATGCCATAACCGGGTATCGACGCCGGTCGCATGCGACAGGGTGTTGTTCAAGGACGAAGCTGAGATTAGTGAGGTATATACTGGTGCGCCCGTGATGAGGGACAAGGCAAGGGACGGAGATCACGTCGCGAGAAGACTTGGAAGGTGGCACAGCGAACGCACGCTAACCAGCATCGGTTAGC